CCCCCGATCTTGCTGCCTGAGCTTCCTTTAGGCCCAGCTCAGAATCAAAGTAATTTGATCAGGGAGGTGCAGCCAGATGTGTTGAATTACGATAAGGATGAAACTGTTGTTGCACAGGGGCAGTCCTTGAAATGGCTACACTCTCCAGTGTCGTTGGTGGGAGCTGCAACAAACTGGGAGAGTCCACGTAGCTGTTGACCTCGAATCGAGCAGCTCGGAAAGCAGGAAGAATAGAACACCCATAGACTACATGTTGGGAAACCTCCCAGTTCGACGCCCTGGAAGAAGGGAAATAGACCAGTCCACACATTGGGCCAGGGGGTCTCCCTATTAAAATACACACCCAAATGGGGCTTGCCGATGTGATATAGCAATTTAGGAGTCTGGTTGTCAAACTTCGCTCCACAATCCAAACCTGTCAAATCGTTTGTTTCATCCTACAGGGAGCTGGTTCAAGAACAATGCAGGGGGAGTGCGCCCTTTAATAGCAAAAAAATGCAGATCCTGAATTGCGAAATTGTGGCGTTTAATTGCGAAACTCGTTCGGTTGCGAGGCTTGTTTATGGGAGATCTTGGTTGTGCCTTTGAGGAGGGTCTTTTCGCTATTATCATTTTTGCAATTAAGATTTGGATTTCGCTATTAAAATATGACTTTCGCTATAAAGAGGTACCCTGATCTAGGGGGGCAAGTGGAACACCATTGAAACCTCGAACACTGGCCAAGCCCGGGCATCGGCCAAATTAGGCTCCCTAGCGTGGAACTGATAGAGGCGCGTCATGCCTCAGCACATCCGCAGATTTCTCCATGCCCCTAGTTTCAACGGGTTATAGAGTGACTTCCTGAAAGGACCAGCAGATGAATTTCTTTGAGTTCCACACAGTTGCATGATAATCTCTAGAACCAATGTTGCAGGCATCCCTCACGAGTGATTGAGCCCTTGACTGCTATATGCCATTCCACCATAGACCGCTGGCAAGGCGATCACTTGGAGAACCTCTCAGGAGAGACAAAGAAGGCTAGAAGGCTAAAGCATCTGCGAAGGATGGAGAACCTATCCCTCCGTAGAGACGTAGAGACATACGTTATAAAGGACAAGCCACTGTTGTACAGAGGAGGGCGCAGTTGAAAAACAAACAGATTGGTGGCTAGTTCGAGGCTTTCGGTCTTCGGATCTTGGAATCAGAAGCTAGCAGCCAGCACCTCGCTTGGAGCCCATGATGGACGTGTCGTCTGATTGTCCAACGAGTGGTCTGACTGGATGTGAACACACAGCTGCAATCAAAGGTTCCATCAGTTCCATCAACAAAATATCATGGGAACATCCCACGCTTTGTCCTATGCCACAGCTTTTCCAACTGGGCCGGAAGCTTCAAGGGTGCTCGGAGACCGCCTGGTCATGATGCTTCGCAGCTTTTCCTGCGCTGCAAAAGGATGAACTTCGAAAGATGGCCTAGTTCGCTACTGTGAGGCTTCGTGGTTGAAAGGATTCTTGCTCGAGGACCAGTCGGAAAGGGCAAAGACCCTTAAGGTCCTGGTCGATCTCTTGCTTTTGGGCGAGTCCGATTCAGAAGCCAAAATGCAAAAGAGATATGATATGATATGTCCCACATTCTCCTTCAGGGGACTAAGGTGGTTGTAGGCACATTAGAGGCCATTGCAATTGACTTTTTTCACTTCCAAATCTATGGAACCTGGGATACTTAGACCCAAGAAGTATGAGCTCAGTTCGCGTTCTCTACCCTCAACTGTTGGATGGAAGGTCAGGTTGCTTCGATCAAGCATACTCATGACGCAACGCTTACCTGGCCCAGCCTGCACGAACTAAGAGGAGGTGGTGGCCAGACTGGAGGAAGCACATCTGCCAAACAAGAAAGAATGTCCGTGTTTGGTCTGAGTGCAACAAGAATTATGTTTTAAAAATCCTGGAGTACATCGAGCGTGGAAAGCAGGCATGAGCATGTCCCAATGTCCCATCTCACGACGTGATCAAGCAGCCTGCACCCTCGGAACCTGAGTCCTGCAGTACGAGCTTTCCACTTCACACACTCAGGTTCAGGTCCGAAGTGTGTGTGTGTGTGTGGAACACGCCCATTTGGCTGATTATATAGTCAAGTCATGCCATCCCATCCTCTGCGTGTGTGTGTGTGTGTGTCACTTCCTTTTGTTCGGCCCATGGCCAATAAGTTCTAGTTAGAACAAGTCCTATGAAGCCTGGGCCCAAGACCGCATTGCTCTAGAAAGCGCTACCTTCTCCCTCCCCTTCCATGTCCTCTCCCTTCCTAATCCTCCGCACCAGCAAGGTCACGAAGCAAATCCCCGGGGTACTCAGCGTCAAGGGTCTCAGCCACGCCGGCAGTGTGGACCATGCAGCCTGACGGGTTCTGCGCACGCTCGGCGATTCAGTCTCGCCAGATTTGCGGGCTGGGATGGCCATGCGGGCCTTCCGCTTTCAGAGCTTCAACAGAATCACCTACAACAGAGTTGGTACAAAAGAATTTGCATTTGGAATATGTACAGTTCATTAGTTCAGTTCATTAGGGAAGTTCATTAGGGAAGGAAGTGCATTATAAACCCTCATCGGCATGATCTGTTGGTGAGGTCTCTCAGCAAATAATAGCATCTGACACCAAGAGAAACCGCACCTTGCCCTCGTGCTCCATGGCGGTGGATATAAAGATCACGGTGTTGTAGATAAAGAGGACAAGGAGGAGAGCATAGAGCACCTCGAGAAGCAGATTGACGTGTTCAACCGCAACTGCTTTTCTTGCTGGAAGTGACGTTGTCTCGAAAACTCTCCACCCACCATGTTCATCTTCGACGTTACTCTGACCTGGTAATGGCTCCACTTCCCGACTCGATGATCGAATTGCAACCGGTGCTTTGGCGCATCGAACCATATCTCCAAGCAACCAAGGTGTAGTTTGCCTGCTGGAACCGCTCAGTGAGGAAGGCGAAGGGGAAGAAGAAGCGCCAGAGGAACAGGATGAGGAGCGCCCTCGAATCGACACCCCCATGGTTCACCATGGTTCCATACGGAGTTCAAGACGCAAACTTCTTCGTGATCCCCCAGCTTGATTAAACAGTTAAACGTCAAAAGCAATGGCCGCCGCAATCCGCGATCTTTTCCCGAAGTATGATCTCCAGGACCCCTTGTCATGTTCCCAACGCTCTCCAAGCCACACAAACATGATGGTCCCCGTGTCCCACATGGCGGCCATCATCAGCGAGGCCATGGTGCCACGCAGTGATGACCGTGGCCAGGGGTGGGCAGGTCAGGTTCCTTGGGACAATGGCTGTGGTCACTGAGCCACGCAAATCCCCAAACGGTGGACCCAAAAAAAGGGGCACCCGGTGCCTTGGACTGGATGGTTGAACAAAGTTGAACAAAAAACACGTACAATGCACACATGGGCTTCAATCCGATAAGGACCCTGGGATAACTCTGCGGCCACTCTCTCTCTCTCTCTCTCTCTCTTCTTGAACGTTGCTGACTTTGGGAGAAGCACACATGTCAAACTCTTACAAGCTTCATCCTAAGAATCCCACACCTCTGTTCTACTTCTAGATATGGCACTGTCATTCCTCTTTGGAGGATTGATCAAAAAAATCTGCCAAGTTACAATATCGGATCATGTGGAGGTGCCACATGGAACTTGAGGTTGATGGCGGCAGGAAAGCAATGCATGCAATGGCGGGACTCACACTGGCGGGCACTGAGCTGCAACAAACAAACCTGGCAGCCAAAAACTATATATAGGGAATCACACTTTGATAGCACTCGCAAAACACCTTTGATATGCCTACTAGGGAAATGCCATCAACCACTTGAGGGTAGATCCTGGAACAAATAGATTGCATTTAGTAAGAGTTTGGAAAAAAAAAAAAAAAAAGAACGACGTCCTTCAAAAGGCAGAGTCACATCACCTAAACTTAAACCCCTAGCACACTTTGATGGCATCCACGCCCAAAACATAGGTCTCCGGTGGAAGCCTAGTGGTACCCAATGTCCATCATGTTGTGCCAGAGGCGGGATGCCACCAAAGTGTGATTCCCTATTTATATATTTATATACAGTATTATATCAAGGATACAGAAATAATTTTGCAAACAACCAAACTACCCCCGGAGCTCTAAACCTAAAGGCCCCGATCTAAAAGTTGTCCTGGTCTTTTTCCTTGCCTCAACCACCTCACTGGCTGATGTGAATGCTTAGAAAGAGCATTCAGTCGGTGAATTCAGAAGCTCCGGTACTTTCTGAGATATACAAGTAGCACCTCCAAAACACAAACAAATCATTCCGGGGTGTCTTCATACACTGTAAATCCTGCTAAATGAGTATTCTGAGCTCTGAACTGGCTCAATCTGCATCAACGCTGACAGGGCAGACTCATCCAACGGATGAGGACCTCCAAAAGAAAACTCGGAGACTTCCCAACAGTCACTGAATTCCTTTACGTGCTCTCAAACTGTATCCAAGCAAAATTGTTTAAGAACCCACTGCTAACAGCACAATGAAAACAAGTTATATAAAACAAGATCCCAAGTGACTTGCGAGTGCTCCATGTCAGAAGCAGTCCCTTTGCGTCTCAAAGGTTGAGATCCAATCCTGAATCCTGTCCTGTCTTGTGTTGGACCTTGGACCCACGAAAACGGGAAGAAACGGGGAAAAGGTCAACCAAAGGGGTTGCAGCCTTTGGTCCATATGCCAAGCTTGTTGAGTGCCAGCAGCTTCGCCTCACCATCTGAGCAGGTGTAAACGACACTACTTGTCAGACCTTGGGCAACGCATGCTGTCTGTGTCGACTTCTCTATATCTGTGTGATCAATTTGCACGTTCGACTTTGCCAGTCTCGCACCTGCACCGCTTGGCGTTCGAAGGGCAAATCCTCACTTAAGATGGCGCCACGGAAAGGTTTCAAAACGTGATCCTCATTCGAACGAACCATGTCAATGTATGCTGTTGGTGCACGTCACTTTTTTCCCCCTTTCGAGCGAATCTGAATTCATAAGATTGGGTCCACCAAGTCAAGATGCCCGATCATCTAACCCCCTCACTTTGCTGACAAGCCAAGCGAGTTCTGTGCCAACTGCAAGGCTACTTGCCAGCATCACTAGTGTAGGCGGTGGTGGTGGCAAGTATGGCAAACCAAGTCTCCACACTGTCTACATTGGAAGCCGTAGTGATACATCCTGAAGCCACAGTTGGCGCACTCTTGATTCAGGCCATAAGATCCATAGTGCCTATACTTCCTTTGCCTGGATCCATCATGGGTGCATTCTTCCTCCACTTGCAACTGGTATCGAATCTCCTGCACTTCCTGCTCTCTCAGCGGTCTTCGCACTTCCCTTTCCCGCCTTTCAACCTGCCTCTGCACATCCACAATGAGATTCTCCTCCTGCCACAGCGGGCAGCGACATAGGCGTTGATTATCCGGTCCAGACCAATTGGAGCCACAGTGGTAGCAGAAGTGATGTCCGCAGCGGCACGTCATGTGATTGCAGCCAGAAGAGAGCTGCACCATCACCCCGCAGCGACCACATCGTCGCCAACCCTGTCGCCCTGCCAACTCAAGCAGCTGCTGCTCTTCTGCCGAAGACTGTTTTCTCTCTGCTGCTTCTTGGCAGGTAAGCTCTGGGTGCGCTGGCCCACGGCATTGCAAGCAGAGCAAGGTGTCACATTGCGGGCATGAATACTTGGTGTCCTGCAGGTGCGCTACAAACTATTAAGAGTGAGGAAACGATAGGAGAGACAAAGAATGAGTTTGAGATAGGTTGAGGATTCCTCGATTGTGATACTGTTGCATCTTGGTACCATCAACACGTCCGCTCCTCCATGCCAACGACGTCCAGATCAAGGAAAAGCGAACACCGCGGGTTGCTGCAATACATTTTGTTCTTGGCATTTGCCTCCTTGCTGCGGTCAATGAAGCGAATCTTCTGATCGAGCGGAAGCACCTGCTGAGCGAGCGCAAGATCGATTGGCTGGGAGCAACAGCGAGGAGGCCACATTGTGAGATCCGATGTGGCACTTATGAAGAACTTGGCTAAGCAGTCTCTGCACATAGCATGCTTGCAGCTCAACTCGTATGACTCAGTCTTCTTTTCGAAACATGTGTTGCACTTCAAGAGCTTAGATCTATTCGAGCTTGGCCCTGGCTCTGGCATAGGCTCCCCGCTGCTGGCCGCTTTGCTTGTAGCAACGGAGCTAGCAGCCATGGATTGAGCAGCTTCATTTGTCGACACGAACTCAAACACACTGGAAATTGCAGCGGAGCTTGAAGCGGCGCTGCTTGGAGCTACATCTGCAGCTGTTGTGACAGCAGCACTTGATGAAGCCACGCTAGTTGGGGTTACCATTGTGCTCGGTGCCAAAGGGACTTCGACTTGCCGCTGGGCCCTCTGCAGCACACCAGCCACTTGCACATCAATCCACCCAATGTGCACATCCCTGGCCACTTGGGCATCTGACCTCTCGAGCTCGACGACCTGGTTCACGTGAGTCTGTAGCTCTTGCGCGGCAACATACCCTGCCTCGGCAAACATCTCCCGACCAACCTCCATGGACTGCAGTAGGCTGCTCCTCTCAGCATCCTCAAGCAGAAACATGTGAGAGTCTCAACATCCTATGCAGATCCTATGCAGATCCTATGCAATCGGCTATAGAGATCCCAAGGGAAACTCAACGGCCCACACATCGAAATTCCTTTTATACCAATCCTCTCCTCCATAATCTGTTGAACCCTCTGCAGGTCAGCCTGCCACAACTGCACTGCCTGTATGAAATCATCCTGGGAATTGGCTTCCAGTGTACTGTGCTGCAGGTCATCTTCAGAGCACTCCAACTGCATCTTCACAACCTGGAAGGCCACAACAATGGTACACACAGCCAAAGAATCAGCTGTGGATTATTTAGCACTTGCCGCAATCATGTTGTTTGCCACCATGGATCTGAATGCAGGTCAACAAAACAACAAAAGGTTGACTATCCAAACAGCATACTGCATGCCCCGCCTTCTTCAGCAGCCGGCTGCCCTCCAAGTACTGCAACTCGCTCACTCGATCCCACAGGATCTTCCTGGCATTCAGGCTCCGGACCTGACAAGGGCTCGTCTGAGCAAAAAGTGTATTTACTGCAATGAGTCAAAATGAGTCTAGTTCTCCTTCAATGGGAAGGCCCGAATGCACCCAAGCGTCGTATATATATATATATTGATAGATAGATCGTTTCATTCCAGCCTCCCCAAAGTTGATGTAATGTAGATTGAGCCCAAATCAGGATGCTCTTCATGAATTAGGGATTCACGCATGAGTTGGGGTCAAACTGCACTCTTGTGCAGTCTATGTGAAGATTCATCACAGGCCGACTCTATCTAGTTCCTCTGTCCAATCCCCATTCACTGCACTTCTCAAAGTTGACTCGCACCCACGTGTTTGGTTGCAAGTGACACTGAACAAGTGGACAAAACTGCAGAAATAAAACAAAATAACAAAATGGAAACTCCCTCTCTCCACCTGCAACTCGATGCGGATGTTTTCTTGTGTCAAATGTAGCAAGATGGCCCCGTCCACTTCATTCGCCCGGAAGCTCTCCATGACCTGCTAGCGAGGCCGGCGAAGCCGTCGACGCCGTGAGCACACACAAACAAAAAGTTACCCAAGATAGACGGGCATGGCTCAAAAGTTAAACAAAAAGATTACGCCTGATAGCAAAAAAACATCTGTGAGCAATCCGCAGCGGCACTCGGCTCAGCGGTGCCAGCACCCGAAATTCAAAGTGCGCAGGGCAAGAGGCACGTCGCAGCAGCACCCTTGAGCGACACCCTGCCGCGGCACCAGCACCCAGGCTCGAAAACACACATACTTGAAGTAAGAACCCAATAGCTCACGCTATCTGGGGAATGGAACAAAACCCACTGGTCGTAGGTCATGTTCTGTTTGGGCCGTCCTCAAATGAGCACTATGGGTGCAAAGCAGGGTCAAGTGGGATTTCGAAAATGCTCTCCCTTCTGAAATGTGAAGTGATGACATCTGCCAGCCGCAAATAAGTGAATGGGAAATGCTGCATATCTCTCTCCAAGCTCAAAGCTTCACAAAGCCTCAAACACGCAACACTTCACCCACCCGGCCTCGGGCTTTGCCACATGGGGGCCTTGCTGTAACAACCACGCCTGCACCTCCTCCATGCTCCAACTCCGCACGTTGGAGCGCGACATCGTTCGAAAGGGGCGGGACTAGGGGCCACCTCCCTTCGTCGGGTTTTCACTTGAGCCCTTGGAGAGAACGAATGGATACAAGATGATACAAAATGATACAAGATGATACACATGGGCAGCTGCAAAGAATCTTCAATCGAATGAGACCTTTTAGCTAACGCCTCGACTCTCCCGAACACGAATCTAGTGGTCCGACTCAGAGACTGATTCCATGGCTCCACACTCCTATCTGAGCCACTGACCAGCCGTTCTCGTGGCGGCTCCCCCTGTCCAGGCACCTTCACCGGCTTCGCGGCCTGGCACTCAGCGGTGCCGGCCGGGGCCCGGAGGGCCCGGACCTTGGTGGGCTCTTTGAGCGGGACGTTGAGCAGGTGTTTTTGGAACAAAGGGACTCCACCCTCTGTAACCATTTGGTAAGTGTGACCTGCACATTGAATCTATTTTGATACCCGCCCAGTCACCCATCTGTAAGTGGCACGGTGACGCGAACTCTGACCGATAATATAAAAGACTTATTGGATCTTTGTTCTCCTTCACACTGCCACGAACTCCACCTGCATGGAGCTAGGTACAAACCATGCCCTCTAAATTTGAGCATCGGACCTTGGAGTCTGGTGGAGCCTCACCAGCCTCGTTGCACTGCTTTCAGAGGTCATGCTCAAGTCTCCCCCGGTCGACATAGGTCAGTCTGACCAGAAAATAAAACTCAATGAGGCTAAAAATCTGACCTAAAAACTCAATGACATAGGTCAGTCTGACCTAAAAATCTCCTTTGGTGCCAAAACTCCCCTGCGATCAGCTCTTTTTTCCCGCGCACTCAAGCTGTGATCCGCGCATTGGGACCTGCGACACCCGCATTGGGCACGCCACGAAGCAAACCCGGAGATCAAAGGTGTTTTTTTGCCAAACAAACCAGGACTGCGGTACACCTTTGCCAACGGACCATAACTCCGAGGTTCCACCCACAAATTCAAAGCTGGAACAAATGGCTTTTGTGGTAGCTTTTTGTTCCTAGTAGTACGGCCAGGAGCCCCTAGTAGCGTCCTTGCTCCTAGTAACGATGCCAGCAGCCCCTAGTAGCTTCTTGTTCCGTGAATCGCAAACTTGGGATGTGAAACTGGCCATCCTCCACACCTCTGTTGGGATTTGTGCTGACCTGCAAATGCATGGCACTGGTTCAGTCTGAAAGTAACGCAATCATGGCCAGACCGGTTGTAGGAAGTGTGGTCGGCACTATATGTCCGTCCCCTTGCTGCAAAAATCACGCTACTATGTTACTGTATAGTTGAGGCTCCCAACAACGAAGTGAGATTCCAATGCCAATTGCACACCCAAGTTGCTTTGTGAACCAATCACTACTGTAAGGATCACCGAGTCAACGTAAATTTATTCAAAAAAATGATAAACAAATGAATAATGAGCATGCAGTGCTTGCATTTTTACTCTTATCGCAGGGTGGAAACTAAATGTTAGAGCGAGCCTATCTGCAGTATTATACAAATCCTAAGTCCCGGATTGGGCAAAAGCAGCCTTGTGGTGGTCTTCTGCCTTTAATTTGAGGCGGCCTAAATCAGCAAAAATAACTTAACATAATCTGTTCAAAGCTTCCAAACCAAACAGCACGGCGCGGTCTGGATTTGTTTGACATTCCCTGCAAACAAGGACACGCCTCGTCACTCGGGGCGGCCGAGACGGTCGGCGCGCTGTGCTTGCTGGCACTGTTCCCCTGGAGCCTGAGGCATCTTCCGTGGGACATGTGCTTGGTCAAACAGTCTTTGAACTCCAGTCGGTATGAATGCTGAAAGCTTTACAGTATACAGTAGAAAGTCGAGCACTAAAATTCACATGTGACCAAGCAAAGCGTTGAGAGATACCTCAAAAAGCCTTCCTGCAATTTTTGCAAAAATAGAACCCGAACCTCCTGAATCCACTCTCAAAGTCCTAGTGAAAGACCAGAATGATTGGCCGAAATTGAGCGCCACACTCTGAGTCCAGTTTTGCTTGCCGTTCCTACACAAGAGGCCCAGCGGAGACCCGACCCGCTGTGCAAATCAAAATTGGTAGTTGGTTCCTGCCAGTGAGCCTAACCTCTCCATTATGTGTATATATATATATATGTTTATTTATATGCCATATACATAATGTGGTGTCTATATACATATATATATATATATGTATGATATGGCTGTGGGTCAAAACCAGGATACCTTCGTGGACCTACCCGAAAGGTCAAGTTGCAGGGTGGACAAGGGCTCCAGGTTTGCACCCATGCCCATATATATATATATACAATAACTATACAGTTCTTTTCCTCAACAGACAAGTCTGGCCCTATCAATTCATAGCTTCGATCCAAGCTCGGCGGAGGCCAATGTCCCGCAGACTCTATCGAATCAATGCTGATGTGCCAAGTCGATCTGGCAGAGGAATATCATCTAGCTGTCCAAACCTAGAAAAGGAGTACAGTAGTCTGGTTCTACCAAAAGTCCTGTGGCATCCCACCTTCTGTTGCAAGTTTTCCAAAGCCTCGAAGAAGTCGACGATGCCCCTGCGAGGCTGCGGCGCAGGTTCACTCACAGGGCAGATTAGAGAAAGAAGGCTCCGAGTTTATCTTCACTATTGCTTGGGTGCTTTGTTACAAGCTAAAAATGCTTGTTGCATCTTGTTGCCAATTGTCCATCTTTCACCATCGGGCACAGGTTTGGCCAAAAATGGATGTGAACCAGAACAAGGACCAGTCTCAAAAAGAATTGTTGGGTTATCTGAGTAAAACAGTGCAAAACACCAAAGCTTCACTTCCAGCCTTTCTGGGTGGTCCTGACACAAGGTGCAACCCCACACTGTCAACTCCTGCTACACTAAACATATCATTTCTTCAGACCTCGTGTTCACTGTTTTTCAAGGTTGCTGCAGCTTCTGCATGCTGAGAATCCATCCTCAAAAACCATCTCAGGTCCTCATTGCGTAAACGTAGATTCTCATCCATAGCTTCACGATCCTGAACATCCAACGGGGCTATGGGAGGTATGCCGTGGAATTCATCTGACGGTTTCATGAGTCAGACGAGTGAGCAAACCCTCCAAAATCTCTTGAGCACGAGCCTAGAAAACTTCCTTAAACTGGGCAGGCCTATGTGTCATTGACCCTCAAAAAGGAGTCAGTCTCAATTGACTGGTAGCAACTAAATCTCCCGAAGAATTGTTCTACATTGCCAAACTAATGACCCTTCTTGAGGCATTTACTCGGAGCGAAAACTTTCAAAGATCCGGCGGCAAAGACTTCGTCACTTGGCTTGTGGATGAGTTCTTGATAGGTTGTTCAAAAAAGTGAAGACTCCGTCTCCCACGTCATTTGCCCCTGTTAGTAACGTCAATCCAACGAATCTGGAAAATGAAAAACTTGTGCCATGTCTCAGTTGCCAGTACTGAGTCTAATTCACAGGGTTCAAAAGGACACCAGCTCCGGGTCAACCCCTAACCTTTGGCACCTTCATCTGCTCATGCACCTCCTTCGCTTGCTGCTTTATCCTGGGACAATTTGCTTTCAAAGCGTAGAGGATCAGGAACCCAAAACCAACCAGCCTCTCATTGGCATCCGGGAAGTAGAAAAAAAGGTTGCCCTGCTGACGCCTCGATGGACGTGAAAGCTTGGAGCAGTTGAGAATAGTCTGAAAACAATTGAATAAAAGGGCAATGCCGTCCCGGGTTTGTTTTGGACAAAATCCGGATCGATTCAGCACAGGTGGAACTTGGTGGAACTGTTGAATGCAATTGATTCGAGCAGCGGAGAAGAAAAGAGAAGTTGATGGTCCTTCCTGACTGCACAACAGGAAGTTGACAAACCGCCATGCAAACCACATGATTCACACGATCCAATGGTTGTCTTAGTTACATCATGCTGAGGCCACTGACGACTCGCGAGCCAAAGCGATCAACCTCGCGTCATGCAAAAAGGCCCATTTCCCTGGGGAGTTTTCAAAAGGGAACCCAAACAGCTCAAATGGGAACCTCCAAGGACACATGTCCCAAACGACATGTAATTTGATGAATCAAAAGCTCCTGGCCGTACTACTAGGAGCAAGGATGCTACTAGGGGCTCCTGGCCTTACTACTAGGAACAAGAAGCTACTAGAGGCTCCTGGCCGATCTACTAGGAGCAAGGATGCTACTAGGGGCTCCTGGCCTTGCTACAGGAGTTTTGACCAGCCTTGAGTCGGAACCTGAACCAGCAAACTCCCCCCCCACCTCTCGTGATCGGGGTTCCCTGGAGCTACCGTCGGTGGAGCTACCTGGAAAGCAGCGCTCACACGACAGTAAGCAGGCTGCTAGGAGCAAAGGGCATCGCTACTAGGAGCAAGAACGCTACTAGGGGCTCCTGGCAACAAAGAAAGATGTCTTGTGCCTGTTTTGCACTGCTTGGCTAGAACATGACAGTGACGTCCAAGTCAAAACCTGCTCCACTTGAATCCCCCCTGTGCCAATGGATTGCATCCTGCATGCTGCATAGCTATTCCTTAGAATGATTCTATACAGCATGTCTGTTCCTAACTTGCACTCCTCAATTTGACAAGGAGTGCTAGTCACTAGCTGCTAGTGACCTCATCTGTTCATCTGGCCATGGCAAGTCTGGCCTGTGGCACCTTCGGTAGTGCCTGTGCCTGGGGCATTTCTTTCGGTGCCTGCGCGACACTTGACAGACAAGGTCAAACAGTGCAGTGTCTGATCAGTATCATGTCTGGATCATAAAGGTCATAGAGCGGATGCTTGATCTTTGATGGCCCCTGACTTAACATTTCCACTTATGAGTCTTGCCACTGCCGTGATGGAGCAGGCCAAATTTGGGATTCTCAAGATGCAGCAAACAATAGAATCAATAGAATGCTGATGTTGAACATCTCTGCTGGAGTCTTTCATCAATGCTCACAACCTTCGGCTTCAAGAGAGAAGGCGTCCTTTCTCCAAACAGTAGACGAGCCCACCCACCTGGTTTGACTGCGCGAGATTTGCTTTCTCCAAACGCCTCAGCCAGTATGCTTAGCTGCGTTGGAGTAAATGAGCCGTCGACCGTTTCATCGAACGGAGCAGGTGTTGCAAAAGGAAACCTTTAAAGGCCTCTGTTGATACGAAAAGTAGCTGGGACCTGAGACCCATCAAATTAGTGTCCTGTCAGTTTGTTGTCACTGTCCGAATGAGTGCAGCAAAACCTGCGATGGAAGCGAAATG